ACGTGCCTGTGCATTTTCCTCAGTCAGAAGAGCACGCAAAAGTGGAGGTGGTGGAGAAATATCAGGTAGTTGTACCTTGCCTTTCGTGCAACAGGTGCTAAAAATTGGTAATTTTTTGGTTCCAGCGACTTTTTCTTCAATCCAATGCAGTGCTTTGCATTCTGTGCAACAAATATTCATACGTCCAACGTTATGTCGACGTACAGCATTTGTATCATAATTTTTAATATGTGCCGCATTAGAGATATTGTACTTAGCTTCATTCTGTTTTTTTTTACGTAAATCAGCTTGCTCAGCATTTTCGTCTACACGTTGTCGCGCATGTGCTTGTCTCTGGACACTTCTGTGACACTCAGCTTCTTCAATAGTTTCAGCTGCAATACGGCGAGTATATACTTGTCTTTGGGCAGTTCTATGTTGTTCAGTTTCTTCAGTAGTTTCATTTGCGCGACGAAGAGCGTAGACTTCTCTTGCTAGGCGGTTTTTTCGGTCTCGAGGGCTTTCTGAAGATTCAGAGACAGATATTTCTTCTTCACGACGTGTCATATGTTTTGCATATCTTTCACGCTCTAGACAATTTTTGCGTTCACGAAGGGTTTTGTTTAATGATTGTGTGTTTGAATTCATTTTTTAGATATTGTAAGCACTTGTGTATACGAAAATGAAAGAATTATGTAACTGATGCGAAAATTTTTTGGAGGTATTTATAATGCACGTGAGAGTCATTTTTTTGAGCCCTGCTTTGCCTGTTAATAATTATTTGCTGTGTAACCTTGTGGGAGCTGTAATTTCAGATATATGGATATTCTAAATCAAATACCATACAGTAGGTCTATGGCAAATACACGTGATCTAATTCCCTAAATCTACTAAATTACAACATTAACCTTAACTATAATGTTGGTCATGCTGTGTCATTAATATTAGTGCTGTTCATTAGATGTATCTATAAGCTATGCCGGTAGTTAGTAGCAGGCAATAATATGTAAAAATTGCAAGTCCTGTGATTGATCTGCAGTTAGTGTAACAAATAAAAAACAAACAGTTCTATCTGTATTTTTTTTATGCCTCAATCTAAATTAGATTTAGACAATTTAGTAAATGCAATAGCATATCAAACAAAGCCGAAAACATATATATCGACTATTTATAAGTGCAATGCAACAGAAACAGACATTTAATGGATAGGGTTTTGAACCGTGAAAAATTATTCTAGTGGTTTATAAGTTACGCTAATAATAATCGATCATCTGTTTATTAGTTGATTGACCATTTATTAATTGCTTTACAGTTTATCCGTTTAACCACTTATTGATTATTTAAACACGTTTAAATTGCTATACATCGGAAATAAGTTTGTGAAGCTGCTCTTTTAAACAAACTTATGCATTTCTTCTTAGAATAGAATCTGATTAATAAACTTTATTTTATAGATATGTACAGTACATGCTATTTACTGTGCTCATATTCATTTTCTTCAGCATAAGACACCAAACGATCATTAAACGATTACATGTTATACCCGACTTAAAAGTTATAAAACCAATATAAATTAATTATAAATTAATATAACTTTGATTTAATAAATTAAATAAATTGTTTTATATAGTTCTGAATGTTTTGCTAATATTTATATTACACCAGATCTTGTTTCGTGACAGGTACTGATTGGCTAAATCAGAACTGCAGGAGAACTTAGTTGCATATAATCATAACTATAGTCTGTGTAATGACAGATGCATGCGTTGACGCTCAAAAAATTTAATATATAGATTTTGAATCAGACTGAGTAAACTA